GCATTAACACAGACGTTAAGACCGACTACATGATCGCGGAAATGAAATTCGGGAATGCATTCTCGACATCATACCCATCAAGGGAAGACTGGAGTAGGGGCAGAGTGGTAGAGGAGAACGAGGTGTCCCTCTACACCGATGGCTCAAAAATGAGCTGCGGCGTAGGGGCTGGGATCTTCGCTGAAAATTGGAGAATTAAACAGGCCTTCAATCTCTCTAACTCAGCGACGGTCTTTCAGGCTGAGTTACTAGCCATAAGGGAAGCAGTCGAACTTTCCTTAAGGCAGGACCTCAGGGGCAATAGAGTTCGAATCTACTCGGATAGCCAAGCGGCTATAAAATCCCTATCTGCCGTGAAAACGAATTCACGACTTGTGGCAGAATGCAAGAAGGCCCTTAATAGACTTGCCGACAAAAATAAGGTACAAGTAACTTGGGTACCGGGACACAACGAGATCCCAGGAAATGAGAAGGCGGACGAACTAGCCCGTGCAGGCTCGGCAGGGCTAAGTTCTGACTTCGAATTACCGATCTCCCTAAACGCGATCCAGACGAGGATCCATGACCACTTTAGGCAGATAGCCAATAAAGAATGGCAAAGCAAGAGTGATCACAGAAGGTCAAGGGAATGCTGGCCGAGGTACGACGAAAAACGAACCAGGGAACTGCTATCCAACAGCAAGCGGGATATCAGTAGGTTCACGGCACTCACCACGGGACATTGGGCGATCGGTTCGCACGCAATGAAGCTGGGACTGCCATACAACGCAATCTGTAGAAGCTGTAAGCAACCTACAGAGCAAGAGACACCGGAACATCTGCTATGCTTCTGCCCAGCGCTAAACCACATCAGATTTCGCCACTTCGGTGCCTACCAGATGGAGTCACTGAGAAACATAGGAAAGCTGAAAGTTTCGGCAATCCTAGGTTTCCTTGCTGACTCTGGATGGTACTGATAGTGTATTACAACAAAAAAGAAACAGAGGGTGTGGATCAAAAAGGAGCTAAGCTCTAATTGGAGGCCCCAGCCTTGGGCCTCACCACTGCAACCTACATACTGTATTAACAGTTATAAACTCACAGTTTTGCATTTTTCTGTACATTTAAAGATCGTTAGTATGGAAGTTATATGATATAGTCTTCTGATTTGTATAAAATGAAAACCGATATTTTGAAATAACACAAAATGTTTTAATCATAAATTAAATGAAATGGCATCTAAATGATATAGAAGTCTGATTTTTGTAAAATTAAAACCGAAATTCGGAAATACTACAAAATGGCAATTTCTATGACTAATATACGATAGAGAGTAAATTGAACACTAACTGCAAAAGTAGTAGTAGATACCCTTCAGTACCAAAATTCCTTTCCTGTCCGATTCCTGGTGTCATGTTCAAAAAACAAAAACAAATCTCATCGGTTTCGGTTAGAGAACTCCGAAACAAAGTAGGCAATGAAAATTCTACCTGTGTTCGGATACTGCCAAAACAATTAATTGTTGTTTTTGACGGGATTCGGAGCAGTGGTTCCGAAATTAGATTGAGATGATGAAAAATATTATTGAACGCAATTAAAAGAATCGATAGTCTCGTTAGTGAAATCGATTTTTTCACAGCTCTACTGACAGCTGAAGTATTCACAAGTTTTTGCAATGTAATTTATTAAATATTGTTAAAGGGTAAGTGACTTATTTGTATTCAGTTAATAAATTCATTTCCAGAATTGATTTTGAACCTGGACACTTTTTTAACCTAGACGGTGTGAACGGAAGGAGATTGTATAACCAGTATTTGTTTTCTTCTTAATTGGTGTGTATATTTCTGAAAAATATTGTCCATTTGATTCTAATATCCATATGTATATACATATGAATTTGAATTATAGATTGACGAGGCAACAGCCGGAAGGAAAGACACGTAACATACTTTTAGGGGAAATGCAAGTAGATCATTGAACAAATTATAAAGTTTTTTAAATGAATAAATAAATAAAAAAAATTTATTATAAATTGCGGCAGATATTTACTATGGGGCGGGGGGTTCCAGGGATCTTCTACACGTTTTCCTCTGGGATTCCTATCTGATTCTACTCTAATTTCCACTAAGATCCTCCAGGGGCTTTCTTGACATTTAACTTTTTTATGTCCTCCTTAACCTCCTGCACAGTTATAGGTGGCACCGGAAGCTCCATTTGGTGTGTAATCGCAAGCTTGTCAGCCACAATCTGTTGTCTCCGGACAGAGGCTGTTCCGAAGGGAGTAAATCTATCTTCTAGACTTTGAGCAAAAGCTTCAACTCTGTCTTGTGTTGATCTTGCCCATGTACCATCCTCTGTTTTGATTGGAAACTTGGGAGTAGCTAGCCTTTTATAGGATCCAGTCAGCTTCCAAAGGGCATAGTTGGAGCTCGGATCAGCTGTCACGTTATCCAGCATGCGATCCGTAGCTTCAGCCTTGAGTATCGCTTTATTCATCAAATCAAATCATTTGAATGGATCAATGGGTGCCCCGTTTACTTCTTCTTCAGGAAGGGGCTGACGATGGCCGGAGCAGCATAGGTGGAAATCGGAGCAGTGTAGGCAGGTCCGGCGACATAGGTGGTAACGGGGGCTGTGTATGCCGGAGCACTGTACACGGAAGTGGCATAGGTGGAGTAAGCAGGAGAGGCAGCTGCATAGGTGGCCACGGGAGATCCGGCAGTATAGGTGGCGGCATAAGGAGCAGCGGCATAGGTGGTCGCTGGAGCGGCGATGAAGCCAGCATGGGCGGCGGCAATGCAAAGAGTCAAGCAGATGAGGAACTTCATGTTGATTTGGTTGTTTTGGGTTTGTTGTCTTGTCAGCAACTGATGCTGATGGCCACTATTCTTCACCGTTTTATAGGTCACAAATTGGCCAAAACAGCTTCGTCTACAAGACACTAAATTAGAACACAATTGCGTTCGCACTAAGTCTTGTGCATGGTAACGTTCAATGAACGCGGATGCCCAGCAGAGGCGTGTCAAAATGGATTACTCCTTTCAAGCATTCTCGGTGGGAGATCGTTGTCAAAACTTAAGGCATAGTTAATGATTAAGAAGTTACTATTTGGTAATGTATTGAGTATTTCAAATCTTTTCAATTGCTCGTAACATTAAAAGTTAATCAATGTACCTTTGCTCATTTCGATTCTTTAATGATTGACTCCCTATCTGTAAAAATTTTACGACTATAAATTAAGTCATTATCTGTAACATTGTTCTGTATGATCGAATAAATTAAAACAAAATCGACAAAATTAGACAATTGAATGGGAAATTCTTCAATTTTATCGTTTTCATTGGTGGGAGGAGTTCAAATTTCTTTCTTTTCCCCTATTTTGTGAGTTTCGATAAATATATTCCTAAAATGAGTTGTAGAAAAGCTTTGACCGACGAGGAAAAATTAAATATTCAAGCTTATAATAACACTGGATTCCAATTTAAACAAAAAAATTCAAGATATATTGACATTTAAATAGGTTTCCGTATGACATTTTTTTGTCTCCTTAGACGTTCTTAGTTGTGAAAAATACAATGAATTCATTGGGATAAAAATTATATTGAAAGAGACATTTTGTTCACTTTTAAAACCTTATTAAACTTAATGCGCCGATTCATGCGTCAAGTGCTTAAAAATGTGAAATTATTATATATATTTATATATTATATTATAATAGTATAATTATTATTATTATGGAAGGGGATTCCCGAATAGTACCAATAAATTATTGACTAAGAACAAGAAAGGAAGCTAGCTTCGGCACGTCAAAGTTTATATAACCTTGCAGATTGAACTTAATTATTAATTAATACATTTAATATAAATTATATGTATTTATGTAAAAAAAAGTATTTCATTCCCCTATACATATTATAGTTAGAGTTTTACATTCACAGTTTACGATTATTTGTATGTCGGTTACAATTATGATATAGTAGTCCAATTTTTTATACAATTAAAATAAAAATTCGAGAATACTATAAAAATCTGTTGACAACTGAAAAAGGTGAAATTTTTCTTTTGTAAAATATGTTTAAAAGTTATATTTTTTTCTAACAATTTTCGATCAGGCAGCTACTTTGCAGTTTAGATTTTAAACTAAAATTATACTACCTAACAATGGTATACAAATTACTAGGTAGTGTAGGCATCCTAAGACAGCACCACCTATGGGCAGCATGTCACGGAAGCGCCACCTAGGAGTCGGTGGCCGATACTTTGCGATTACTGAAAGCACTCCTCGCTCATGAACGAAGACTTGGCAGCACTGGTTCCTCGTGAATAAAACTTCTGAAATGTATGTATGTAATTTAGCATCGGTGACTTATCGGTGGAACGGTGGAAAAATACAACACGGCGGGATTTTTTTCGTAAATAAAGCACCGATTCGAATATAATAAATATAATAAATACTAAAAAATGAATTTACAAATATTTTTACTGGATTTGGCAGCAAAAATTGTTAGGCTTATAACTCCAATTTACGAAAGCGTGCCGGTTATAGGGTTATTAGGGGATGATTAAGGAATATTTGGTGAAAATTTCTTTTGTTATCAACCTTCAGATTCCGGGAAAAACTAATAACAGTGGATATTGCATTTGGGCTGATAATTAGGGCGCGAACTATGAAAACGGAACCAAATGTGAACCTGCAGAGAACCAGTAATGATAAAAAATACTACATTTAAGAACAATAGCAAATTGTTAAATGAAACATTCTGTAGAAAGACTGATCAATGAATGAAAAAGACATTCAAAGCGTTTAATTAAAATACGTCGCTCACGATAAATAAGCTATTTCGTTCTTTTGTAATTATTGTAGTATACATATACCACTCGCACTTACTACGCAGACTCCTCGCACTTGTTGTGAGTAATGAATAGGGGAGCGCTTTTGCCGACGAGACTACCTTGTATAATTGTATCATGATATCATCAAAGCTTTACTTTCATCGCCGCTCAGCTAGCAGATCGAAAAACATTTGTTTTGAATTTATTGTATTTATAAATTATCGAGCATAATCTTCGAAAATAATCCCTTTTTTATAAACAAAATTAATTTCGTAAAACCTCTGTGTACCACCTGATGCTTGAGCCCTGAAATTACGAAAAGTTGGTAGCTGTATATTGGAGAAAATCTCCACCAGAATTACAAACGATTTCATCAGAATGTGCAAAGATTACTACAAGATTCTTGACATCGAGCGAAATGCATCCAGCGAAGAGGTCAAGAAGGCCTACAAACGGATGGCACGGCGCTATCATCCGGACAAGAACGACCATCCACAGGCCGAGGAGCAGTTCAAGGAAGTGGCTGCCGCCTACGAGATCCTGTCCGACAAGGAGAAGCGCGAGATCTACGACAAATTCGGTGAGAAGGGCCTAAGGGGCGGTGTCAAACCGCCGAATAACGCTCTGCTCTCGTCCGATATGCTGCTGTTCATGTGTGCCATTGGCGGAGTAGTAATTTTTGCCTTTGCCGCCTATAAGATATTCCAGCTCTTCACACGCAAAAAGGACGCGACGCCAAGAACGACCATCCACAGGCCGAGGAGCAGTTCAAGGAGGGGGCTGCCGCCTACGAGATCCTGTCTGACAAGGAGAACCGCGAGATCTACGACAAATTCGGTGAGAAGGGCCTAAGGGGCGGTGTCAAAGCGCCGAATTTCGCTCTGCCCTCGTCCGATATGCTGCTGTTCATGTGTGCCATTGGCGGAGTAGTAACTTTTGCCTTTGCCGCCTATAAGATATTCCAGCTCTTCACACGCAAAAAGGACCCAACGCCCAACAACAATCGACTAAAGAGCCATCCAGAGTTACAACAAGGATGATATTCAAATTAAGTTATAGAAAGGAATATTTAATTGGCTATACCACCCTGAACGCCTGAAAATTGGAGAGTATTTCAAAAATTTATTTTGACAAAGCTATTATAAATACAAATTTTTATTAACTGGAATATCAAAGTGCATATATATGTATGTTAAACTAGAAAATAATTATTGGAAGAATAAAAAATGTACAAAACTGGCGGATATAAAGCGAGTCACATAAGGCACTTTTCTTAGCAAAGGGTCATAATAAAAAAAAATTTTTGAGCAAATGGGAGCACTTTGAAAAGAGAATACAATTTTTTTTATATTAACAAGAAAGGAAGCTAACTTCGGCACGCCGAAGTTTATATACCCTTGCAGATAGAACTTCTATGAATAGGAATCTTTACAATATAAATTATATATATTTGTGTTAAAAACAATAAAGTAATACCTGCTTTCATTTCATTCACCTAAACATATTATATTTGCAGTTTTACATTCACATTTTGTATGGCACCTATATGATATAGCCGTCGATTTTTGAAATGAAATTTGACACAAAATTTAAGACTAATATAAAATGGCTATACCTTAAATTTGATGAAAATCAGCTGAAAACTGAAAAAGTTATACATTTAATTGTATTAATTACTCGATCGTTCCTATGGGAGCTATATGATATTGTAGTCCGATTTTTATAAAATTTTAGACAAAATTGTAGAGTACAGTAAAATGGCTATATCTCAAATTTGATCAAATACTGTTGAAAACTGAAATTGTTATAATTTTTTTTGTAAAAATTTTCCGATCATTCCTATGGCAGCTATATGATATAGTCGTCCGATCCGGCCCGTTCCGACATATATACGAGTGAGAGTATATAGAAGGCTAACTGCAAAGTTTCATTCAGATAGCTTCAAAACTGAGAGACACTAGTTTGCGTTGAAACGGACATATGGAAGGACATACATAAATTATTATACTCTGAAAGGGTATAATGATACATACATATGTGTATTGTAAGGGTCTTATGTTATTAAAATTAATGATGCATGAGTTGTTTTGTCCTGATGTATCTAAATAATCTACATATAAAAAGATTTTCCTTAATTTATTGTTATATTTATAGAAAATTTAATGCGTTTCAGGTTAAAAAAACAATAATTGATAATTTTTCTAATTATTCACATATGTACGTAATACATAGTAAGTAAACATTCTTGCGCTCCCTAACTAACACGTAATTAAGATATGACTGTTAGTGGAAAGAACAATAAACTTGCCCCACTGTACTTCACGGAAGTCCAATTCGCATTTTAACTTTTTCAGTATATTTTCTCAGAGACCTGCGGTATATTTTTAAAATATGGTCGCTCTCCTAACAGCTGTATTATCGGCTATCGGTATCGATTCTCTTCTCGCTTTTTGGCCCCAAAAAAGTTAAAACATAATAAATAAAAAGCTTACTGAGCGGGCGCCATCGGAATGGTTAGTAAAAAGGCCCCTTACAATCATTGCTAGTGATAAACAGCCGGAGACAAGCGCTGCGATAAGAAGTCAAAGCGGAAAGACCAAGAAAACACAATCAAAACGAGCAAGTGTCTGTAAACAATGTACATACATATGCTTATCGCCGTTTCGTTTCGTTTGTGGGGGCGCGCTCTTGCGACTGTGTGTGTCTGGACGAATTTGTGTTGTGGCTCAAGCTTTGGCGGTTTTTATGCCAACGTGTGGAATAGCAGCTGGCGAGCTTCAAAGCGAAAACTAAAAACCAAACAAACCGGCCCAACCTTTTTTTTTTGTCAATTCTTAGCTTATTTAAATGCCATAACCTTTCCAACAAAGTGCGATAACTAGTTTGTAAGCTCAGGAGCTAAATCGTGCGAATGCGACTAGGTGACGCCCTTAACTGGTTCCTGGCTAAGAGTCTGGTCAGCGCACCTCTCACTTTCACTAAAGCTGACGTCCGTGTTCAGGGCCGCTTGATTTTGATTTGGGCTTGTGATTTTCTACATTGCACTTGCAGAGTACTAAAAATTCGAAAATAGTACCCTACAAGTAAATACTCATATAACATCTCTCCTTTGTAAGATAATCTATATAAATAATGGCATTAACAAAACGGATCAAGACTAGATTGCATCGTCTGGTGCAAAAGCTAATTAATTAAAAACCCCCGTGAGATATATAGTTAGAAAAAAAAAACAATATTTCTTTGGATTTACTTGGGAGTAAATTTAGCTGTAGCTTCGTTGTGTGTTTAAAATGTCCCTTTAGGTTACTCAAGGTCCCTTTAAGCGAGTATTTGCAGGGTAGCAGGAAACCAACAACTGGCATGGCCATGTTTATATGCGCCTGCAGATACGTAGACCTCAAATAAACCAATATAACCAACACACTTGCAACTGCCATTCAGCGGCCGACAGTCAGACGGACAGAGACAGATGGAAGCAAAGACACAGATGGAAGCGGAAGCGGGGTACGTGAAACAGCTCCACTTTTGAGCAAGAAAAACCACTGCCGTGATCGCTGGGAGCTCAGTTGCGCTTTAGTTACCACATATAACGGTTGGTTCGCCATAAAAGACAGACAACCTCGGACTGAAACACGGTATTTTTTATCGCATTCGCTAAATAAATATCAGTGAGCGGTTAGAGAAAGGTAAATACACACCTGATAGACAGGCGCTGTACAAGTGTTGCTAATTCAACAAGAAATGCACAGAAACAATTCTAAATTATTTGAACGTTTACTTATTTAAAAAGTCGTAACAAACTACCTTGTACCTTCCAACATTTTTGTATTTCATGCAGTTATGCTGATGTATTATTTATAGAGTTTAATATAGAGTTTACTTTTTTGTCACAGCACATGTAATTTGGTTATGTTATTTTAGTGACATTTAACGAAGTCTTCCTTTTTTTCCCTTCCTCAGCTGGCGGCGCCACAGCAAAGTCACCGCGAAAAATCAAGACTTTTGCCAAAATGACGGACTATCAGACGCTGCACTCGCGTCTCACTCAGGTGGGACAGGAGCACTTGCTTAAATTCTGGCCTGAGCTCTCACAAAAAGAACGCGCCGAGCTTGTGCGGGACATAGATGAGCTGAATCTGGACGAGATTAAGCTATATTTCGACAAAGCTATAGTTTCTATTAACGAAAATGGAATTAAGCTAGACGATCGTCTGCAACCGCTACCCGAGGGCAAGCTGATATCCATTGAGAGAGCCCCAGCTGAAAAATTGGCCGCATACCGAGCGGAGGGTCTCCGACAGATCAGCAACGGCCATGTCGCTGTGCTGCTAATGGCGGGAGGACAAGGTAGGTGCCAACTTAAGGTAACTTATTTGGGTCAAACTGATTGATCGACTTATTGATCTCTTAAGTTTGTGTCTCGCTACAATCCTGTGTGCAACAATCGATTCGACTAAAAAACAACTTTATCATAACAAGACCAACAACGTTGCATTATTTGTGTGTGCGTGTTCTTTTATAAAAGCTCATTAACTTGAAATACAGCTTGATATGTACAACGGCTACTGCTCCATCGCGCACACTCAAACTCAATTAGCCTCAACTCGTGCAGCAGCTCGACTGTTGTAATTCAAATTGTATTTCCGTATTCAAGGCAAAGAAAATAACGAAAGACACGCCCAGCCAAAGAGTTAAATCCATTTACTTTATTATAGGCAACAGTTAGGCAGCAGAGTAAATACATTCTTTGTCAGAATAATAAGAATCCGAGTGATATAGCCAGCACATTAAGATGCAATGCGAAGGATCCAAATGTAAAATGATATATTAACGATAAAATATAAGCTATATAATGTATATAATGTATTGTGTCGTTCCTAAGTGTTGTGTAACCTTGTAGCTTTGGGTTAATTTTTTTAGCTAGAATATTGAAGAAAACATCACTATTCTTCAACCTTTCTTTAACAGTTTTTTAATTAAACTGCATTGAAGGCAGTCAACTCACGTATTGGCCCTTTTAGAAAGAGTAGGGCAGTAAGGAATCTATAAATTTAAATTAGTATTTTAGGCACGTGTAACAGAAAAAGGGTAAGAGTAAAATTTAAATTTTCAAACTATTCTAAACCACAAGATCGCACCGAAAAAAAAGTTTAAAATCCCCTCCCTCAGGAAAGGTATATTTCTGCATGAAGAAAAAGGGTAATTCATGATAACTGAGACCACCAAAAAAGTATTAAAAAATACCCCATAAAGATCAGTTACTAGTGGTTTAATAAATATAAATAATAATTTATAAATAATACGGCATACATTTTAATTTTCTTTAAAGAGTTATTTAAAGTTCATATACATATTTTGTATTTTTACATATATACACATATACTAAACTTCGTTATTGGTTCCGACCTTAAGTCAAACCGCTTTTAAATGTTAACATCAACGCAGACAAAAGAGAAATAAGTAAAGAGCAAAACGGTGGCCGAACTTGTTTTTAAGGTCGACTGGATGAGACATCAATATGCGGCATTTTCTGTTGTTAATTATTGATTATTTAACGTATACAACAGGGCAGAATCCGTGCCTGCAGGTTTTCTCTGTTAAAAAATTGAAATGCGGCCTAAACATCTTAAATTCAACATATCTAAAGAAAAATGGAAAAATAAGAATATTTTAAAAATAACTCGGGTTTTAACCAATCAGTATTAAATAAACTTAAGAATCCATTGATGATTTTGCCATTTTTTTTTAACAGGATGTAAAAATGTTCACTCCTCACTTTTAATCATCCATTTTTGCAGGCACACGACTTGGGTTCGATCATCCAAAGGGAATGTACGACGTGGGACTGCAGTCCCGAAAAACTCTTTTCCGCATTCAGGCTGAGCGCATTCTTAAGCTAGAGGAATTGGCTCAAGAGGCCAATGGCGAACATGGTCACATCATCTGGTATATCATGACGTCAGAGCACACAGTGCAACCCACTTACGACTACTTTGTGGCCAATAAGTTTTTCGGCTTGAAGCCAGAGAACGTGCTATTGTTCGAGCAAGGATCGCTCCCGTGCTTCGAATACGATGGACGCATCATTCTGGATAAAAAGCATCGGGTAGCACGCGCGCCGGATGGGAACGGAGGCATATATCGGGCAATGAAACGCCAAGGAATACTGGACGATATGCGGAAGAGAGGTGTCTTGTATCTGCACGCCCACAGCGTGGATAATATTCTTATCAAGGTGGCGGACCCCGTCTTCATTGGCTACTGTGTCCAGGAGAAGGCTGACTGTGCCGCAAAGGTGGTAGAAAAGGCAGCACCCAACGAGGCAGTCGGAGTGGTGGCCATTGTTGATGGCAAATATCAGGTGGTGGAGTATAGCGAGATCTCGGCCAAAACAGCCGAGATGCGAAACTCGGACGGCCGGCTGACCTTCAGTGCTGGGAATATCTGTAACCATTTCTTCAGCTCCAGCTTCCTTCAGAAAATCGGCACCACTTACGAGCAGGAATTGAAGCTCCATGTGGCTAAGAAGAAGATACCTTTTGTCGACAACGCTGGCAAGCGGCTAACGCCTGACAAGCCCAATGGCATTAAGATTGAAAAGTTTGTTTTCGATGTGTTCGAGTTTGCCCAAAAATTCGTTGCAATGGAGGTTCCGCGTGACGAGGAGTTTAGTGCCTTGAAGAACTCCGATGTAGCGGGAAAGGATTGTCCCAGCACGGCCCGATCGGACCTGCATCGGCTGCATAAGAAGTATGTCGAAAAGGCTGGAGGCATAATCCACGGCGATGTCTGCGAGATCTCGCCGTTCCTTACTTACGCGGGGGAGAATCTCGCCTCGCAGGTCGAGGGCAAGTCGTTCACCAGCCCTTTATACCTGCGAGACACCCGCGATCCCCTGCCCGGACACCTCTAATTCGTGGAGGGGACAGCATCGAAGCATAGACTGATGGACGACGGATAGTAGTTGTTTCGATTATATTTGTACATTTTCTTTTTAGAGTGTTTAGAACGTAATGGTTTCCAAACTTTAGAATGCCGATATGAAAATGTAAAGAATTTCAGTACTTAAAAGGAACGCCTTGTCTATATTAATGTAACCCCATTATGTCTGTTGTTTTCTTCGTTTTGGCAATTATTTGTGCAATCGTAATGTGAATATATACAATATTATGCATATATAATATGAATATTTAATATGTTGTAAAATATAAAAATTATAAGTAAATCCAACAAACAGTTGTTTCTTAATCAAATGTAGCACATGCGAATATTTCGTATATTTCGGGAATATTTAGCAACCGATACTAAAGCAAAGACACCATTTTTTTTTTTAATTTTTGTCTCCAGCAGACCATCCATTTAGATGTGCTCAGATGTGTACCAAAAAAAGGATGCAACTTGACTTATCTATGTATAAAAATCAAAGCGCATGCAAATTTTTTTTAAATTAGAATTAACGATTGATCTCATGCCAGCTATATGATATTCTGAAGTGCTGAAGCCATTTCCAACCTTATATACATATAATGATAACCATCAACAGCCGAGTCGATTTAGTCATGTCCGTCTGTCAGTTTCTTTGAAAAATCGAAAATTTTTTAGAAAAATTATAGGTTTTTTTAGTTTTTAACATATTTCTATCTAATTTAAGATATAGCTATATATTTTATTCTCAAATTTCGCTTTAATTTATAAAAATTAAAATTCTAAATATAATACTGTAACTGCTAGGCCTTTGTTATTATTTACCATAAAGATTTCGGAGTGCCGAAGTTAGTTTCTTTTCTTTTTATTTTCAAAAATTGTAAAAAAAACCGATAAGTAAATATTATTTTCCAATTCGTTTTTAAAGTGTTTTTGTTTCAGCTTTATTTAAATTTGAGCGTAAAATCAAAAATAACTGTCTGATTAACTTTAAACCACGAATATTATGAAAATGCATTTAAAAATTGATTTTTTTTAATTTCAACGCAGTTCTAAGTGGAAACATCAAATCAGCACTTATTGATTTTCGTGCGATATTTAACAACATTTTGGTTCTATATCGATACTATCGATAGCATTGGATTCGTTTTAGGCAGCGGGCTGTCGAAATTTGTTAATAAATAATTAGGTAATAAGTAAAATTATGTTTAGGAAGCTGTCCTTGCGCTCACTGCGCCTCACCTGCGCGTTTACGCAGTGTAAGTATGCGACTAATGGCCAGACGTCGCAAGTTCCTGTAACCGCGGCACTGGAGGGATGGACGGCCAAACTGAAGGCCGCCGGCATTGAGGACACGGACTTCAACATCAAGTGCATCGTGTCGCATGTCCTAAACCGAAAATTCGTAATGTATCTGTAAGCATTGAGCGTTGACAGTTTGACTTACTGCCCTGGTCATCAATGTCCACAGAATACGGTGCCCGATTTCTACGCCCAGCTCCACTTCAATGCAACGCAGCTAGCGGACTTCGAGCGTTTCCTGGAGGCGCGATGTGCGCGAATGCCCCTTCAGCACATTATCGGGGAGTGGGATTTCATGGACATCACTTTAAAAACTGCGCCCACTGTCTTCATACCGCGGCCCGAAACGGAGGAGTTTGTGCGCTTGGTCATCGAGAACTATAAGGACGCCAAGCACGTCAACTTATTGGAAGTTGGCTGTGGCTCAGGTGCCATGTCCCTGTCTATGCTGCACACATTACCACAGGTGGTCTCTACTGCCATCGAGAGGAGCAAGGCGGCCACAATACTGGCGGCAGAGAACGCCAAGCTATTAGGGCTAGAGGCTCGTTTTAATGTGCACAACTACACCATGGAGGAGGACAAGTACTTGCCGGAGGAGCTGAAGGACCAGAAGTATGACTTAATCATTTCCAATCCGCCGTATGTCAAGACGGAGGAGTTTCAGTATCTGCATCCAGAGGTCGTTGTGTGAGTAGAGGTGTTCACTTGCATTAGATTCCCAGTTCCCATTGTTCCCATTATTCTAGGTATGAGAATCTGAACGCCCTGGATGGTGGTTCCGATGGGTTGAGAGTGGCTCGTCTGGTCTTTGAGCTGGCCTGCCGCCACCTGCACTCTGGTGGCCAACTTTGGCTCGAGCTCGGCAACGACCATCCGCCGATGGTGAAGACCATTATGGATTTGAAGTATGAGGGCCGGCTCAAGTTTCTGGCCAGCTACAACGACCAGTACAAGCGTGAGCGATTTGTTCAGATCGAGAAAGTCTAGAAGGGATACCCATACTCATACCGCTGCCTATATGGATAACCCATTTTCCTGATACGACTAGCACAATGCAATTAGCTATTAGGATGCCCATGCATTTAGCTGTGATCCGGAATCATGACCACAAAACCTGAAAGCTGCCCAGAGGCTAACCCCTTTATTTATGCAATATAAATATATTCTTAGTGCTCGAACTGAATGTTGTATTCAAATATTTTAGTGAATAACGCAGAGCAAAGCTTGAGAAAGCTCGGAGAGAGATAAAAGCTCCGGCCGACCGACTCACTGGCAGCAACAAGTGGAACAGCCTCCCATATGCTCAGTTGGAAATCGCATCTGACGCCGCTCGAGTCAGGAATCAACAAGTCCGTTTCCGCGAGTTGAACGCGCGGTTTCGTCGTGGCCGTCGCCGTGGCTTTTAATTCAATTGATTTCGATTTCGAGCTCCGGCCGACGATTTTCTCCATGCGGCTGTCTGGTGTGTGTTTCGCTTTCCAGTTTATGTTTTATTGCTCATAAATTATATTTAACGAACGGGTAAAATTAATAATTAAAGTCTCAATTTCATTGAAAATCACAGCGGTGCTGATAATAAAAGCGAAGAAGATGTAGAGGATACAAAAAAAAATAAACACAAAAAGTACAAAAGCAAAACAGAAACACGTTAATCAAGAATTAAGTTAAATTAAACCCATATATAAATTAATGTAGATACATACAGACAACTATGTATATATGTACATATCTCGTAAATGAATGTATCGGTGCGTGCAAATTAAAAACATTTGTGCATACATACATACATATGTACATATGTTGACCCAAACTTCATTTCGAAGGCGGTTCGGATTTTGTAAAGTTTCAGCAACCGATTACCAAGATCGTGACATTATTTAATGCAGTTTGTCTGCTCGATTGAGTACAATGTGGATCTGTGTGCGTGTCAGCAAACGAATGTTCAATATTAATTGAAAAGCAAAGTCACGTTCATTTTTGGGCGACTGGTTTTCCGTTGAAGCCGTCTTTATCGGCTGACTTACTTATGCTTGTAATTTGAGCACACTTCCAATATTTATTTAGAATTTGTTCGCTCTCCTCCTGCTCTCTCTCTCTCTCTTTGATAATTGCGAAAAGCAATCTGAATAAACAAGGTTCAGCCAAAGATTTATCTGCTGGTTATTTGCTCAGAGCCTCTGCGAACAATAAGGCGCAACCACCAAGCCGAAACCTCATCCGATCCGCTTTTGTGTGTTGTCATTGCTTTTGGTGCAACATCAACAGGAGGGGCAGCAACACCTGCACAGCCAATAAGCACTGAGCGAAAGTTTTGCCAAGTCGCACGCCGCGCCGGTTATGTTAACAAGTGTGGGTTGTTTTCTTTTGCAACCCTTTTTTCTCATTCCATTTCATCCGCACCGTGGGCCAAGACAATGAAAATATGTGCATTTCTACTACGCGTCACAAATACTACGTTATATGTATAAAGTATTTACGCATACCGACCTTAGAAATGTACTAGTTGAGGAAGCCATCTTCTAAAATAATTTGTTAGATTTGTTTGCAATTTAAAATAGTTATTAAACGTAACTCACAATAACTCAGTTTTTTATAATTTATTTATTTATTTATTTTGCACTCTTTTACTTTTAAATCGGATTACATACATACATACATTTGTACATACTGATGTACGCGTTGAAAAACAAATAGAAACAAGCAACAGTTTGTCGTTTGATCTTAATTTTTTGTAGAAATTATTCATTAATTTATTAATTAATTAAAATATTATAGTTTAATAGTCGATACGTCCAGATACCAGATATTCTACTTGGAAATACGAATATAAACGCGCCATAAATGTAACAAAATATCGATAAATTTAGAAATGTCTTTTTATATGTTTATTATTAATAATATCTTAGGGCAAAACAAGTCATCTATTAAGCATTATATTTATATTGTCCCTTACAAATTTTTTAAACAAAATAAATATATATATGAAAACTATTATATAATACATTTTAATTAATATGTTTTTAATATTTGGACACAAAATTAAAGAAAAACTTCACTTTTTTTTAATTGTGCGTAATATATTTTCAGTTTAGCAAGATTTTTTTGTAATATATTCATTCCCTTCCTCTGTAGACATAAGGGTTTATAAATTAACACTTACGTGTCATACATTAAAAGATCCTATCAAGAAAGTGCCACAGTGAGAGAATGAGACTGGCTCAAGTGGCGGAATGGAAAAGTTTTAGATTGAACATATGCAGTAAATATGTTACTAATTTTTCGTAAAAATGGTCAATAGTTATTTTAATTTAATTACTAAGGAAAATAGATACAAAAAACCAGGATAGTTAGGATGATAATATATTGAAGGGAATGCCGTATATTACATAATTACATTTTACATAGCTTCAGGTATAGGCTGAATCCATGTATATTGTGCAAGCAATAACTAAACGAAGTAACTAATACCAAACTCTTTTTCCATCACTCTTCAGCCCAGTGTCACATTGGGCAACCGAAATTTTGGACGACAGCCTTTGAATACATGAGGAAATAAATACATGAAAGTTAGTCCCGAAAAGAGAGTTCGAGCTGGGGGGCGAGCGCGCAATCAGAGTTTAAAAGCTGCTCGCGTAGACGGAGCGGATGGATACAAAGTCTACATGTGTCGTCCCAATAGCTACATCGGCAAATTATTCAAATGCTTCGCAGGCGGCAATTGGAGAGGAGGCATCAATTAACAGAGACACCACTGCAACGTAGCAGGAGGAGCAAAGGCGAAACAATAGTGGAAAATCACATACTCATACAAGCAACAAATATTGGCATTTAGCTCCTGCAACAAAATGAAGAAGCGTCAGCTTCGGCCGCGCCGAATATCTCTAAATGAAAACCACAACAAATACTTGGGCAGCGGCCACAACGATGTACAAATATTTACCAATACAAAAGAACCCAATCAAGTCAATTTAAATTCATCGTCAAAGCTGCTGCTGACAACTACAGTGACGGCGACCTCAACTGAGGCTGACGCCGCGGCTGCGGCAGAGGCTGAGGCTGAAGCTGCTCTTCCCGCTTCGCTTCCAGCAGCCGCCCAGATAGCACACCAACAGCAGTCTCGCCAGCAGCAAAGAAAGCAGCTGATTATGTCGCCTACAATAATGGCCGTTGATTATTTTCCACTGCGGTACAAGCTGCGAAAATCCAAATCCACGCCGAGTCTCAGTTTCGACGCGACGAGATGCCCCATGGCGGAGCAGCAGCCCGACTGTCGCAGCATTTCCACATTTTCACCACTGAACCCCGCCGCGGAGGCTACGCAAGTGCAGGATCAACATGAACAATTTTCACGCATCACCAGCACCAGCCATAAGTGCAGCAATAATATAAATGCCACGCCTCCAACACCGGACTCCTTGCGCTTTGGCTGCTCTCACTATAAACGGCGGGCTATGTTTGTGGTAAGTACAAATTCAATCATTTTAAAACAATAACTTTATTTAATTGTTGTACCCCCATATGTAACCCCATAGAGAGAATATAAAAATTGTAGATTAATTAAACGAAGCGTTCGTTGTTTGAGAAAGAAGTATACATACATATATCGGATAACAAGCATGGGAGTTTTCAGAGAATATACATAGTTTCTGTATATGTTGAACTTCTGCATTTTTGCAGGGTATCTCATGGTCCGTCACACTCAACTAGGAGTTTTAGATTTGCCGGTAAAATGTTACGTTTCTGGGATAGTTTGGTTAGCTGTGACCGCTTTAATTAAAGTTTGTGCCAAGTTACTCTTAAAGAAATAAACGAGCTGCAATTGGTTATGGCGCAATATCGCAAGAACACATTACCACAGCACAAAGTCTTGTTCATATACAGAATCCATCAAGAATAATAAATAATATTTGTAATAAATGCCTGATATTGAATATGATATGCGGGTCACCCAATTTTTAGTTAGGAGTGCATGATGAGCTGAGGCTTTCCCAACCCGTTTCGAAATATTTCTTTATTCATTTCAACATACCAAATGCCATTTAATTGCCTCTTCAATTACTGATCTCATGTCAGTGCTTGTGTTCAGAATTATAGTTTGTCAAGTAAATACAGAAATAGCCCTTTCAAAAAGGTTTATAAATCTGTTGAATTTGGTAAAATTATAACGGCGCCAAACGGAAACCATTTAGTATACGTCCATCTTCTTATTCGTTCTGTCCCGAATGGGCATTTAAACTTTATTTATTTGTTTTTAAACAAATGATCAAATAAAGTGTCTGAAGTCTAAACAGATACATTCCATCAGCAATGTTTTTTTTTGTGCTTGCTGTAATTTTCATTATTGGCACGAAGCGAACTTTTAGATATATATGCATGTATATACTGTGTACAAATAGATATCAAGGGTATCAGGCTGGACTGTAGTCCAGGTAGATATTATTGCTAGATTCGGATAATTAAAAATCTGGTTTTATAGTTTGATCCTTTGCCCTTTGGAAATGAAAACGATCGATCTTCCAAATTAAAAACTCCGGTCAATTAGTATTTAATACACGATATTTAAACTCCCTTTTCAAATAAATCATTAATAGGTTTGTCTTTCTATATGAACTCTTTGTCTTAGAGCTCTGAACCTTATTGACGTTATTAAATAGGTAAAACAGGATCTGATTAATATATAATTTATCATTGTTATATTCTTGAAATGCAGATAGCATCAAGTATTATACAGTAGTGCTTACGTCTGAGCTCCGCCGGGGTGCAAATGCAAACACGTCAGGTTTGCTTCACTCCGTTTCTGATTCACAACACACGCATTTTTGGGTAGCTGCCCCAGAGGCGAGTGTCCATTTAACACTTCCATTTTCCCTTGATGTGAACAAACAACGCGTTTATCTTCATTGGTTGGATTTGAATAAGAAATTATGAGCATACCTGAAACTGTGTGTTTATATAGAGCAATCGTTCCCAGACTATATACGGTTATTTACATTGCCAATTAGGAGCGACCGACATAATTATCGAAAGGTGATAAGTACGGGATGTATCTCAATATTTTTAATGGCGAGAAAAGTGGCTTATGAAGCTTAAGATTTCTTTATGTTAATTAATACACATACAGTATGGTCGTAGTAAGCTTAAAATCCAGATTAGCCTGATTTAAATCCTTTTAGATCCAAATTAAGTAACTTCACTCTCGATTTTCTTTTCTGTGAAGTAAGTACTCAAATCTTGTAGTAAATATGGGGATTTTCCAAGGAAAAGTCACTATTAAAACTATTAATCAAAAAATTCCCTTTCGTATATTACATGTTTTGGTTGTTTTATATCAATTGTATTCATTTTAACTGAAAAATTTAAATTTCTGTTATATTACAGAAATCTGAAAATATTGAGCTATGTACATTCAAACATGTATGAATAACATTTATATTTAAGGTGGATTTGTGAGGAGCAAAAGAGCATTTTATGAGACCAGAAGCTCTACAAATTCTCGGGAATTAAAATTGGGACTTAAAAATATGTTTAGTTTGGAAAAGAGTATATATTTTAACTGCTTTGCTTGAAGGTGGGTCGTATTACTGTTGAATCAGGTGGAGATATCATGAACTCAAATATTTATTGTTGCCGTACAATGCGTAAAATTAATTTATACGTATGTAAATAAGTACCTGTGGACTTAAGCTCAATTTAAAACGCGATGAATGCAATCCAAAGTGTCGCAATGCCCGACATATTTATTTCTTAAAACTCTCATTTGCATCGTGTGTTTCAAATAATATTCTTTTAATGCTCATCGACGCCTAAATTTGGTTTTTCTGTTCTGTGCAATGAAATGAATTTCCGAAGTCTTGACTGAAGAAACTGCAATAACAAAAAACGGTTTAAAATAATCTTTAATGAAGCGAAGCAATAAACGAGGGGAAACACAAAGAAACCGGATCCGAAGATTCTTCTCCACAGTTTCTGTTCTTCAATGCTATCAACACAGTGGAGTTAATAAATATTTTTAAAAATGCTACATCTGTATGTTACTATATGCACATACTCGTATAGCAAATGTTTTTAAGTTATAAATAATTTCGAATGATAGTAGAGACGGATATAGAAATTGTATTCCCAGATGATAAAATTACATGCCTCTTTAGCTAAGTTGTTGTACCAGGACCGAGATGTAAGACACTTTGTATTACATGTTAATGTTTGTTTTTAAATTTGGAAGCTCTAGTCTGTGAGAGTGGTAAGGCTCTTCCTTGAACATTCAATTAGAGCTCGGCGCCGATTTGATCGTGGTATTATATAGTTTGAAAAACATTCCCTAGGTTGTTATATATGTAAACATCTGGTTCTGTAGGTTTTGTAACCAAAAGGGAGTTTAATAAAATATACGATTTTTTGAAAGTTCGTTATGTATGATGCAATTTAGCGAGTACATTTCTAAACGAAAGTACATTCTCGTTGTTACGAGACTCTGATTTACCACGTGCAAGGAATTTGTAAACAAGGTCCTACTGAAAACTCATTTTTTCGCTGGGGAATTAATTCGCCGATAAACCAAATCGATTTGATACAGATTCAGTCTGTTTTTATCATAGCCGAATTTTGATAATACAAGCTACCGCCGGTTAAAGCATTTAACATCAATCTAATGAACCAACCGAGTAGCTTTTGGCATCTTTACGAGGGGATTTAGAGCTACCAGATGATTTAATTAGTATCCGCATTCATAGTTCATATAAATTTTTAGTCCATTCAACGTGTGTTGTTTATAATACTGCTAACTTTGACGTAAAACGAAAGAGTTTCTGAGGGACGTCTTGTCGCTCGTCGTTTACTACCCTTTTTTTTGGCCAGTTTCCAAGCAGATTTCGTTAATTAGCAAATCCATTTTGAAATGCTAATGAATTATGATTTTAGTCCAAATTCCACAGTCCTTGTCTGGAGAAGAAACATGTGGTAGAACTTTAGCGAATATCGAAATTAAGTCAATTTTATTTTAAACACTTTTCCATTACTAATTTCTGCCTTATGTTTATTTGCTGATCCATAGACTCCGTGCTGCAATAAATTCTACAAGTGTCGTTTCTGCCATGACGAGAACGAGACGCATCACTTCGATCGCAAGACACTCACCGAGCTGATCTGCTCCGAATGCAACACGCGGCAAACAGTTCGGGAAAAGTGCGAAAATTGCGGCGTACGATTTGGCAAGGTAATATTTTTCTTTTAACACACTAATACTTATTTAACAATATAATATAATGCAATGCACCATCTGCATCTTTTACAGTACACCTGTCTGATCTGCAACCTCTTCGATGATGCGGATAAGCAGCAGTATCATTGTCATGGCTGTGGAATATGTCGCATCGGAGGAGCTGAGAACTTCTTCCACTGCGAGGTTTGCAATATGTGTCTGCCCATCCAGCTGAAGATCGATGGCCACAGGGTGAGTGTAAATTTGTAAGTGGGGATCGACCTCCACCGCGACTTGAAAGTACTCCAAGAAATAGCAACTCGGCTTGAATATTAATTTCGTGTCAGTTCATTATCCAAAACCGGTTACCCAAATATTTTTTGTAGCCATTTGCAATCCAGTTGAGTGGCTATGAATGTCAAAACTGTTCGAGGGATAGCTTTCTTAATTAAGGGGAAACCTCGTAACTGGCACCGAAATATCAAATGAATTTACATAAAATAACTGATTGTGAACACTCTTATTTGCCCGCAGTGTGTGGAGAACATCTCGCGCTCCCATTGCCCAGTTTGCCTAGGCGACATTCACACTTCGCGCATTCCCTGCCATATTCCCGACTGTGGTCACCTGCTGCACAAGATGTGCTTCGACCAACTGCTTGCTTCGGGACATTACACCTGTCCCACCTGCCAGACCTCTCTAATCGACATGACTGCGCTGTGGGAGTACCTGGACGACCAGGCTCAAAGAATGCCGGTGCCGCTAAAATATGAGAATCAACGAGTGCACATCTTCTGCAACGATTGTCACAAGGTATGTTTCGTCACTTTTTCATTTAGATCGGAGGTGCATTGAATTCACGCCAAGAAACAAAATGAATTTCGAATTTTAAATAATTAAATATCCTTTCCTTCATTACAGACCTCTAAAACAAAATTCCATTTCATTGGGCTCAAATGCGTACATTGCGGGGCCTACAACACAACGCAGGATGTGAAACGTCGCCTGTCCTTGGTCACCGATGAGCCATCCTCGGCGTGATTTCCACCGATTCACACAATGTCAACAACAACAGGAAATCTCTCTTGCCATGCTCAACACATTTGAATGCACAAAATTGCTACATAAACACACAACTGAAGTTGAAACGCATTGAATTTAGATCAAATTCGAGCTGGTATCGAATAGAAAACTCCCAAACAAAAACAAAAGGCTTAATAAGTAACTCTTGGTTGTGCTCTGGGAACCCTAGAGACTTGGAAATATTTAGCTCAAATATATTGTGATAGATCTTTAAAAGTGGTATCTTAATTATTTGTTAAGTCTCTAGGGAATCTCCGAACTCTGACCACTTTACTTTGATTTACACTTTTGCACTGAACTTTCAAAAAATTAAAATTCACTCGAATTTCAAGTATTCTATCCATGAAAATAAATTTAGGTAAGCTTCGAGTCTTCCCAAGCAAAAATACCTTTAGTCGTAACAAATGTATTTTTAATAAAGAGAACTTGAAAACAAAACAAAATCTTAGAATAAATCTTAATTGATTAATACATTAAATCGAAATGGACAATTTTTTTAGTTATTCCATTGTAATCTGCAAGAAGCGCCGAAGCTTCCTTACATGTTGAAAATTAAGTTTTTTTGTAGTGTTACATTGCCTTGGGCTGTTATTAAGGCCGCAAAGTGGCTTCAAGCCCTCGAAAATAGAATTTTCATTCCTTTGAAAATGGTATTATAGAAAACAATTTAATAAATTGTGTGTAAATGCAGTATTGCTTTACGAAAGGCTTTAACAATAATAAAACATAGTTGTAACTAAATATTTCATTTTTTATTAAACATTTTTGTAAGAAAGTAAAGAGTGTGGGTTAGAGAAGAAATAAGATGTATACAGGAGCATAAATTAGATAGTCCTATTTGGTAGGTCCCCTGTGTGATTACCCCTAATCTGTGTCGTATCCTTTGTTCTGCAAGACTTTATACTTTGAAGTAGGCGGCGAACTACTAACGTCACAAATCACCACAAGATGCAAACATGTATTCGTATGTATTTACTTACATTTCCAATTCAACAATTCACGCAATAAATACGCATAATTTTGGTAAATAATTATAATAGGGATTTATATAGAGATCTAAATCCCTAGGAAGATAACAGATATACAATAGAATTATACTAGCTTTGGAAGAGCTATTTAATCTTGATAGACGGATTCTTGCAGCTCCTACATTTATTTGACCCATTAATTTGGAATGATCTTGCTGCCTACTGAGCTTTCTCTTTTTCCATCTCAGCACGGACTCCGTCTCCGCCAGGTCCAGCTGCATTATCTGCGGCGCGATTCTTTCTCCGTTCGGCAGCCTTTTTTTGGCTGGATAAAAATAACCCCAGAGCGATCATTGCAGCCCAACTGACGTAGCCAATATGATAAACAGAGCTGTAGAATCGCCAAATGTTTCCAAATGAAGAAAGCAGGAAGGCTTCTCCAGGTAGCTGAAGGCAAACCACTTAAAGAACCAGAATAACACGTCGATCACATTGCGTCTTAATCCAGTGGTTTCCTTTCGCACAAGCTTGTGCCACATGTCCTCTAAGGAAACATAGAACGGAGCCCCCATGATGCAGAAGTAGTGTCCCGGCCTGAACCCATGCCAATAGGCAGAGCATAGTAATGTGGCGCCAGTTCTAGAAAGGATTACGTGAAGAGTTAATACGTTAAATATGATAATATGAAATAAAGACGTGCTATGAACTACGGAATACCTGCCAACCCTACGGATCAGTAGCAAGGAAAGCAAAAGGAACAATACAAGATATAATAACAGCAATACTACTCATAACTATCTAGTTCTCTCTTTGGAAACAAACCTGTATTTTTTGCTGGGAAATAGCTTATAAACGTTTACAGCCAACCAGTACTGAACACAGACATTCCAATGCTTCATTCCTTCACGGAAGGTCCAACAGCGCTCGACCTCCAGGACCCTCGTATTCACAATTGTTGTAAAGTTGTATTTGTGCTTTTCTGCATCGCGCTTTAAGTGTTGATAGCGCTTACGCGGACCCTCTCCATTGTTTGGATCTGATTCGTCGGGATAAGCTCCAAAGCCAGCCATGGTGCAGACGCATTCGCTTAAAGTCAGCCCTGTGTAAATACGAGCACGGAATGTGAAGAACGTTGGCCAAACGTACAGCAAGCGATAAACGAAGGAGCGATCGTTGTAGAACTCGTCACTCAATGCGTACTATAGAAAATGCAATTCGTTAAATACGGTTTAAATATTGTTTAAAGTGCACATACGTCCAGTGGCCAAAGGTAGTTGGTCGCCAGATACAGTGCGCAATAGAAAACGGCATATTTCAGTTTTTCCAAAGTAGCCTCAATGCTTGGGGCATGCGTCTTAAAAGGCATCTCAAAGTAATCCCTGTATGTGCGATACCGGTAATAGGGTCCTGTAAATAAAATTGTTTGGCGAATATTCAGAAATTACTGTTCAGTACTCATGAGTTGTTTTACTATCTGTAATCGAAAGTGGACTTTGCTCGGCCAGTAGTCTGACTGGCTATCTCTTACCTGTCAGAACCCTATATAATTAAAGCTGTAGTGGACAATCTCTGCGGCAGTCAGCGTCTGCAGATCCTCGTCGTAGTCGGTTATCTCTATGAGGCTCTCCTTATTCAGATCCCGTTGATCATCGTTCTTCTTCTGTTCGTCGCGTGCCTGCAGCCGCTTCCAGGACGCTGTTTTCTCAAATGCAATGCCGGAAACCTGAACTCAAATTCCTTTGGTATTCAAATAACTGCAGCAACAGACAGACGGGCGTTATGCAACTAACCTTTAGAGTGAGAATCATTTGGATCATGTTGGTGTGGCCGGGAATACCCAAGTAAAAATCAAACATCCGGAAAAACACCAAGTAACCAAACATTGCAAAAAGGTAACCAGGTGGCATTTGCTAAACGGAAATTTATGGAGTTAGTAAGTGCTCACAAGGAATTTCTATCGCTCCATACTCACCTTGGATGCACTAGGAGCACGCATGCCGTGCCCAACGCCAAGGAAGCAAAGCAATGCAGGCTGTGGAGGCCCGAAACAATAACAACAACAATCACCCCCAAGGCGGTGGATACCAATTTCCGGTGCTCCTCATTGGTAATCTTCCTCACATAACTGCCAGCTGCAATACATGCCAGCAGGCAAATTACGTAGATAACGTCGTCGATACTCATCTTCCCATTGGCTATTGATTTATATTTTTAAACCACTTTTTATTTATATTTTTATGTGACCAGTAGAGGTGCGCAAAACATCGATGAAAATATTAATGAATCGATGTTTCTGAATTTTCTAAATCATCGATGTTTTTTCGACCATCGATGTTTCTGTGCCGTCACTATTGATTTATATTTTAAATCACGTTTTATATATTTTTTATGTGGCCAGTAGAGTTGCGCAAAACATCGATGAAAACATTAATGGATCGATGTTTTTGAAGCTAGTCATGGCAACAGTGTTGCCAAAACAGTTGAAAAAAGTTAGAAGCAGCCACACAATTTTGTTATTAATTAATTATTAAATTATATATTTATTACTATTAAAATTTAAATTATTTGCAAAAACTTTTCAAGTAATTTTACTTTCTTAACTTACTTTCTTACGTAACTTTTAAGTTTCACCCGCTTTTTGTTTGAAAATACTACAAAGTATTTAAAAGTGGCATACTTTAACTGAAGCAGTTTGATGTTTTTAAAAGGTCTTAACCTGGACATAGTTGATAACTTAATATTTATCAATGTTTTATTAATTTTAAGTCCCTATATCACCAATTCGAGGAGGAAAATCGCATAACAGTGATCTAACCTAGTGGTCGACCCCATACTAAATAGGGCATTTAAATTAAAAGGCTATATATTATTTTATAGGCTTACTAGGGGAAGATTAAGGTATATTGATGAAAATTTAATTTGTTTTTAACCTTTAGTTTTTGAAAAAATATAATAATCGTGGGTAGTGCATTTGGACTGATAGCTAGGGCGCGAACTATGAAAACGGAACCAAATGTGAACCTGCAGAGAACCAGTTGCTGAACCTGGAAAAGAGTACTAAACTTAAGGGGGTAGACCACCCTGACATTTTTTAAAAATCTAATTTTTTTTTTACTTTATCTTGATGCCGATATTCTTACGGTCATTGTAAGACATCGGGCTTAAAAATATCTCATTACTCATGGATTCTACAGCCATTAGAATTGAGCGCTGCCGGTATACCTTAGAGTACTTTCTTTATCTTCTTTTGCGTTTTTCTCAAAACTACGTTTTTTAAAACGGTGTACATGATTTCTCCAAAACCGCTAGACCGATTCTCTTCAAATTTTTAAAGTTATAAATTTTAAAACAAAATTTTGTCAAAAAAATTTTTCTTTTTCAAAGTGCTCCCCTTTGCTCAAAGAAAATTTTTTCGAAAAACGGCTACGTCATGCTATAGCCATACTTATATAGCTTATAAAAAATTTTGTTTTTGAAATTCTGATAACAAATGTGGTGTGTAGCATGTACACCATCCGACCATTCCCTAAACAAATTCGTTTTTTGACTGGCTATATCTCCGCCGTTCGTAAATATTTTTTTCTTTCAATAAGTATTTTTGAGTTTAACATGTGTACTTTGATGTAAATAAAAGTTGTATTCCTAATAACTTAGTCAAAATTAATTTTTGAAAAACCCAGGGTGGTCTACCCCCTTAATAACAATAGCTATTTGATGAATGAAACACTCAGTAAGACTGTTCAATAAATGAAAACGACATTCCAAGCAATGTGGTAGGCGTTTTATTAAAATCCGTTTATTCGTTTAGAAAAAAATAGCGGCGGTATGATTATGCGCCCGTGATATGCAAAATTGACGCAAACTTTCAAAATATGTTTACGGCCGTAAATGAACGCGTGCCAACATGCACGGTATTTTAAAAAATGGAGAATAATATTCTCTAATTTTGAATTAAATCCTAATTGGATCTAACCTACAGATTTTGTGAAATTTAAGTGTTTCACTTTTCCGACCCTTTAATAAACACTGGCTCCATATCGATACGAGAAAATCCCACGCCATATCGATAAGTACACCGACAGAAATTTAACTCCTGTTGGCAATTTAAACAATTGTTTGTCATTATAAGCATTTCATTAAAAAATTCGTTCAATCGCTCATGAGAAAACCCCACTTTTTCATATATTTCCATATATGTATGTTTCCTCAAAGCATGACCCTAACGAAATTGGGCTAATGTAATTCACTGGCGCTAATTTAACGTAAATTTGAATTTTATTTAAAACATCGATGTATCCGATGTTATTAACAGAAATACATCGATGCATCGATACATCGAAGCTTGTAGAAGAAAATTTTACCTGCCCATTTTAAAAAGACATATGTGTTTAAAACAAAATAACATTTTTTTATTGTTTCACATTTCAATGAAGTTTCATCATGTTCTTTTATGATTTTCAGATATAGATTTCGACAGTGCTATATATATTTTTATTTTGTATATAGATATTTTTGCCAGCTTATCAATATTGATTTCTAGTCAAATCAATTTGACTAAGCTTTCAATTTACATATTTAAAATGAACTTATTTTTGTATGTTTTTTTTTCGATATCTCGATTACTTTTTCTGGATTTCGAAATCATATTGTTGAGCCTAAAAAATATTTATTATTATTTTATTAATGATATAATATAATAATAATAATTTTATTTAAAAAAAATTTTTTTTAAACGCCAAACCTAACTGACAATGTGCCTTAATTATCGCTTACCCGGTTACGGATTCAGTGCTGGTTAATCTTATCCAATTTTTTTGTGAATTCTTCTGCACTCTCACTTTTCTTTGGTTCCCCTTTTTCTTGTGGGCTTTGATAGCTATCGTCTGAACCTTTCTTGTGGACTATTACAATTAGACAACGCTAAAGTAGCAATGCTATCACCGTTGGATCGCCTTCGGCCGGCCTTTGCTTTCGCTCGGCCGCTTAGCCCGAGAAATAACAAATGCCTTTCCGAAACTAAACGCTCCCAGCATTTCCATAGCCCAGTCCAGCCATCTGCCATGCAGCTTATCTATAACATTCTCTATGACATGACGTAGAATTTTTTCAACATGATTTTTATACCCTTTCAGGGCATTATAATTTCAGTCAGAAGTTTGCAACGTAGTGAAGGAGTCACCTCCGACCATATTAAGTATATGGGCAATTCTCCAGAAAGGTCAACCGCTGCCAAAAACTAAAAATGGCTTAAAATCGAGTATTTTTAACATGAGTACATAACAATTTGGTTAGGATGATCAAGACTAAGAGAATTTTTCATTTTCTAAAATAAGTTTCAAAAAAATCGATGTCAAACACGCGCAAACGCAAATAATGTTGTTTTTATCAAAAAAGGCATAAAAAATGGCATGTTTTGTTTTGATGCCAATCTCTTAAACCGAAGCATTTTGCTTTGACTTTTGGTTTTAAATATGACATAAAAAACCAAAAGAGTCAATATAAAATGCAAAAGAACATATGCGATTACCAATAGTCGTACAGTTTTAATTTAAATTATCGCTTTCCAAAATGTCGCGTGCAACCGGGACTAAAATTGAATTTAAACAAGAAAGGAAGCTAACTTCGGCACGCCGAAGTTTATATACCCTTGCAGATAGAACTTCTATGAATAAAAAACCATACAATATAAATGATATATATTTGTGTTAAAAAACAGTGAAGTAATACCTGCTTTCATTGTATTCACCTATACATATTATATTTTGCAGTTTTACATTCAAAGATTTGCATTTTTCCTCTACATCAAACGATCGTTTGTATGGCACCTATATGATATAATAGTCCGATTTTCATGAAATTTGACACAAAATTTAAGACTAATATAAAATGCCTATACCAAAAATTTGATGAAAATCAGTTGAAAACTGAAAAGGTTATAAATTTAATTGTATTAATTTCTCGATCGTTTCTATGGGAGCTATATGATATAGTAGTCCGATTTTCATAAAATTTTATGCAAAATTGTAGAGTATAGTAAAATGGCTATATCTCAAATTTGATCCAATTCTATTGAAAACTGAAAAAGTTAAAAAATTTTTTGTAAAAATTTTCCGATCATTCCTATGGCAGCTATATGATATAGTCGTCCGATCCGGCCCGTTCCGACATATATACGAGTGAGAGTATATAGAAGGCTAACTACAAAGTTTCATTCAGATAGCTTCAAAACTGAGAGACTAGTTTGCGTAGAAACGGACAGACGGACAGAAGGACAGACGGACAGACGGACATGGCTAGATCGACTCGGCTGTTGATCCTGATCAAGAATATATATACTTTATATAGTCGGAGGTGCCTCCTTCACTGCGTTGCAAACTTCTGACTGAAATTATAATACCCTGCAAGGGTATAAAAATAACTACTGAATATTTTAAAATCAAACAAAATACATTATTAAGAGAATTTATTGCGTAATTCAATAAAATGTATTGTACTTCAATTTTTCATCACGTTTCACTGAAATCAAAGCTTAAACTGTTTTTTTTTTTTTTTGCAAATGTAACTTCTATTTTTGTCGCGTGCGAACGCAGTACGTTTTAGTGAATATCTTGAAAACAAACAAGGGTTCAAAATCGACCTTAGCACCAATAATAGTGCTAACCAAGAGCTATACGTTTCAATTTTTATAAAATTAAAATAAAGTCTTGGCAGATGTGTGTTTTTTAGTTTAAATGCGTACGAATGTCGCATTCGACACCAGAGAATTGCCCATATACATACATATATTCTTGATCAGCATCAACAGCCTAGTCGATCTAGCCATGTCCGTCTGTCCGTCTGTCCGTTTCTACGCAAACTAGTCTCTCAATTTTGAAGCTATCTGAATGAAACTTTGTAGTTAGCCCTCTATATACTCTCACTCGTATATATGTCGGAACGGGCCGCATCGGACGACTATATCATATAACTGCCATAGGAATGATCGGAAAATTTTTACAAAAAAATTTTTAACTCTTTTAGTTTTCAATAGAATTGGATCAAATTTGAGATATAGCCATTTTACTATACTCTACAATTTTGCATAAAATTTTATGAAAATCGGACTACAATATCATATAGCTCCCAAAGGAACGATCGAGAAATTAATACAAATAAATGTATAACTTTTTCAGTTTTCAGCTGATTTTCATCAAATTTTTGGTATAGCCATTTTATATTATTCTTAAATTTTGTGTCAAATTTCATTTCAAAAATCGACGACTATATCATATAGGTGCCATACAAAATGTGAATGTAAAACTGCAAATATAATATGTATAGGTGAATGAAATGAAAGCAGGTATTACTTTATTGTTTTTAACACAAATCTATATAATTTATATTGTATAGATTCCTATTGATAGAAGTTCTATCTGTAAGGGTATATAAACTTCGGCGTGCTGAAGTTAGCTTCCTTTCTTGTTAATATTAATTTATATATTTTATATTGCACGGATTCCTAGTCATCGAAGTTCTATCTGCAAGGGTATATAAACTTCGGCGTGCCGAAGTTAGCTTCCTTTCTTGTTAAAATAAAAATGCCCTATAATAAAATTGTATTCTCTTTTCAAAGTGCTCCCATTTTCTCAAAAATTTTATTAAGACCCTTTGCTAAGAAAAGTGCCTTATGTGACTCGCTTTATATCCGCCAGTTTTGTACATTTTTTATTCTTCCAATAATTATTTTCTATTTAACATACATGTATATGCACTTTGATTTTCCAGTTAATAAAAATTTGTATGTATAATAGCTTTGTCAAAATAAATTTTTGAAATACCCTCCAATTTTCAGGCGTTCAGGGTGGTATAGCCAATTAAATATTTCTTTCTATAACTTAATTTGAATATCATCCTTGTTGTAACTCTGGATGGCTCTTTAGTCGATTGTTGTTGGGCGTTGGGTCCTTTTTGCGTGTGAAGAGCTGGAATATCTTATAGGCGGCAAAGGCAAAAGTTACTACTCCGCCAATGGCACACATGAACAGCAGCATATCGGACGAGGGCAGAGCGTTATTCGGCGGTTTGACACCGCCCCTTAGGCCCTTCTCACCGAATTTGTCGTAGATCTCGCGCTTCTCCTTGTCAAACAGGATCTCGTAGGCGGCAGCCCCCTCCTTGAACTGCTCCTCGGCCTGTGGATGCTCGTTCTTGGCGTCGCGTCCTTTTTGCGTGTGAAGAGCTGGAATATCTTATAGGCGGCAAAGGCAAAAATTACTACTCCGCCAATGGCACACATGAACAGCAGCATATCGGACGAGGGCAGAGCGTTATTCGGCGGTTTGACACCGCCCCTTAGGCCCTTCTCACCGAATTTGTCGTAGATCTCGCGCTTCTCCTTGTCGGACAGGATCTCGTAGGCGGCAGCCACTTCCTTGAACTGCTCCTCGGCCTGTGGATGGTCGTTCTTGTCCGGATGATAGCGCCGTGCCATCCGTTTGTAGGCCTTCTTGACCTCTTCGCTGGATGCATTTCGCTCGATGTCAAGAATCTTGTAGTAATCTTTGCACATTCTGATGAAATCGTTTGTAATTCTGGTGGAGATTTTCTCCAATATACAGCTACCAACTTTTCGTAATTTCAGGGCTCAAGCATCAGGTGGTACACAGAGGTTTTACGAAATTAATTTTGTTTATAAAAAAGGGATTATTTTCGAAGATTATGCTCGATAATTTATAAATACAATAAATTCAAAACAAATGTTTTTCGATCTGCTAGCTGAGCGGTGATGAAAGTAGAGCTTTGATGATATCATGATACAATTATACAAGGTAGTCTCGTCGGCAAAAGCGCTCCCCTATTCATTACTCACAACAAGTGCGAGTGAGAGGAGTCTGCGTAGTAAGTGCGAGTGGTATATGTATACTACAATAATTACAAAAGAACGAAATAGCTTATTTATCATGAGCGACGTATTTTAATTAAACGCTTTGAATGTCTTTTTCATTCATTGATCAGTCTTTCTACAGAATGTTTCATTTAACAATTTGCTATAGTTCTTAAATGTAGTATTTTTTTATCATGTATTCATGTTGTGGTTCCATTACTGGTTCTCTGCAGGTTCACATTTGGTCCCGTTTTCATAGCTCGCGCCCTAATTATCAGCCCAAATGCAATATCCACTGTTATTAGTTTTTCCCGAAATCTGAAGGTTGATAACAAAAGAAATTTTCACCAAATATTCCTTAATCATCCCCTAATAACCCTATAACCGGCACGCTTTCGTAAATTGGAGTTATAAGCCTAACAATTTTTGCTGCCAAATCCAGTAAAATATTAGTAAATTCATTTTTTAGTATTTATTATATTTATTATATTCGAATCGGTGCTTTATTTACGAAAAAAATCCCGCCGTGTTGTATTTTTCCACCGTTCCACCGATAAGTCACCGATGCTAAATTAACATACATTTCAGAAGTTTTATTCACGAGGAACCAGTGCTGCCAAGTCTTCGTTCATGAGCGAGGAGTGCTTTCAGTAATCGCAGAGTATCGGCCACCGACTCCTAGGTGGCGCTTCCGTGACATGCTGCCCATAGGTGGTGCTGTCTTAGGATGCCTACACTACCTAGTAATTTGTATACCATTGTTAGGTAGTATAATTTTAGTCTAAAATCTAAACTGCAAAGTAGCTGCCTGATCGAAAATTGTTGGAAAAAAATATAACTTTTAAACATATTTTACAAAAGAAAAATTTCACCTTTTTCAGTTGTCAACAGATTTTTATAGTATTCTGGAATTTTTATTTTAATTGTATAAAAAATTGGACTACTATATCATAATTGTAACCGACATACAAATAATCGTAAACTGTGAATGTAAAACTCTAACTATAATATGTATAGGGGAATGAAATACTTTTTTTTACATAAATACATATAATTTATATTAAATGTATTAATTAATAATTAAGTTCAATCTGCAAGGTTATATAAACTTTGGCGTGCCGAAGTTAGCTTCCTTTCTTGTTCTTAGTCAATAATTTATTGGTAATATTCGGGAATCCCCTTCCATAATAATAATAATTATACTATTATAATATAATATATAAATGTATATAATAATTTCACATTTTTAAGCACTTGACGCATGAATCGACGCATTAAGTTTAATAAGGTTTTAAAAGTGAACAAAATGTCTCTTTCAATATAATTTTTTATCCCAATGAATTCATTGTATTTTTCACAACTAAGAAAGTCTAAGGAGACAAAAAAATGTCATACGGAAACCTATTTAAATGTCAATATATCTTGAATTTTTTTGTTTAATTTGAAATCCAGTGTTATTATAAGCTTTGATATTTAATTTTTCCTCGTCGGTCAAAGCTTTTCTACAACTCATTTTAGGAATATATTTATCGAAACTCACAAAATAGGGGAAAAGAAAGAAATTTGAACTCCTCCCACCAATGAAAACGATAAAATTGAAGAATTTCCCATTCAATTGTCTAATTTTGTCGATTTTGTTTTAATTTATTCGATCATACAGAACAATGTTACAGATAATGACTTAATTTATAGTTGTAAAATTTTTACAGATAGGGAGTCAATCATTAAAGAATCAAAATGAGCAAAGGTACATTGATTAACTTTTAATGTTACGAGCAATTCAAAAGATTTGAAATACTCAATACATTACCAAATAGTAACTTCTTAATCATTAACTATGCCTTAAGTTTTGACAAAGATCTCCCACCGAGAATGCTTGAAAGGAGTAATCCATTTTGACACGCCTCTGCTAGGCATCCGCGTTCATTGAACGTTACCATGCACAAGACTTAGTGCGAACGCAATTGTGTTCTAATTTAGTGTCTTGTAGACGAAGCTGTCTAAGTCGGAAACTTGTTTTGGCCAATTTGTGACCTATAAAACGGTGAAGAATAGTGGCCATCAGCATCAGTTGCTGACAAGACAACAAACCCAAAACAACCAAATCAACATGAAGTTCCTCATCTGCTTGACTCTTTGCATTGCCGCCGCCCAGGCTGGCTTCATCGCCGCTCCAGCGACCACCTATGCCGCTGCTCCTTATGCCGCCACCTATACTGCCGGATCTCCCGTGGCCACCTATGCAGCTGCCTCTCCTGCTTACTCCACCTATGCAACTTCCGTGTACAGTGCTCCGGCATACACAGCCCCCGTTACCACCTATGTCGCCGGACCTGCCTACACTGCTCCGATTTCCACCTATGCTGCTCCGGCCATCGTCAGCCCCTTCCTGAAGAAGAAGTAAACGGGGCACCCATTGATCCATTCAAATGATTTGATTTGATGAATAAAGCGCCGATACAAATCCTTAAAATCTTGTAAATACTTTTTCTTTGGGGAAGTATAACTTTGATTTATTTTGATGGGTCAACCCCTTAGGTGAACCCATCAATGCAACCATGGGAGATTCGGCTGAGAGAACCCTTTGCTTGAACATCTCTGACAAAAATGGGATCGTTAAGCTTGACCTCATTGAAGTGACATATTAACTTAAATTAATAGAGAAATTACATTCAAATGGATCAGTCAGTGGTCAACAGTCAGATATCTTTTGGCCTATACTGGTTTTCAGAAGCAAAAGAGTGTTACACAACCGCCAATTAGTGCCTAAAAATTATGCTCCATTTTAATAGAGATCATCATGTTAATCGATTGATTTCATCAAGTTTAGAAAATGATTCGCGCAGAGAACAATTAAGAAAAAGTTTCTAAAACTTGAAAATATTTAACTCCCATACGGTCTTCTTGCCTCTAACACGAACTCGTGTGTTTTGAAAAAATGTACAATGAATTTTTAGTATAACTTGTATAGTTTATGGTTAAATTTAATTAAGAACAAATATGTATAAATATGTATTATTATTGCGAAATTCTAACGTAAATGGGGCTTCCGCCATTGAACATATTAACATACAACTTTATCAGAGAATACCAATGCATTCTATCAGTCATAGTCTTGATCAAATATAGCGACCAAGTATGTGTCTCTTACTATTTTAATTGTACATTAACATTTACAAAAGAATACTCTTCTTGCTGAGTTATTAAATAAAATATTAAGAGATAAGTAGCAGAAATGGTTACAATTGGTGTTACCAAAATCATTAAACCACTTTGGTAAATTATTAAATCTAAATTAATGCTATGAAGCACATTTTTTAATCTTTAAATTATTAGATACACAATTTAATATAACTATTGAAGACGCAAGTCACGCTGCCTCATTATAATGTATTAACTAAATGAATCTTAATTTTAATATTTAAATAAAGAAATTTATAAAATTGTTTGGTATGGAAGAGACTACCATCACGGTAACTTAATCTATTGCCTCTAAATATTTTTAAGTCCAGAGAAAATAAGCGAACTTTTGTCCAGCTTAGAAAGAATCAATCCAAATAGAACATAACTTGACAATAGCTAGTTAGTAATGTTATTAGAGTTACTTCCTAACACGCATCCCCACTGGCATTTTCTAATTATCAATCACAAGTGATATTTCCCGCCACAATTGATTTGAATCAAATCGTTGAGGTGGGTCTGACTGCCTCCATAATTGGCTGTAAAAACGCCCAGCAGCAAGTATCTGTGACTGCGTTTATTTGAAGCTTTGCCCACTTTTTGCGCCTGCACCAACTTTTCGCCGAGATTTTCCCCGACGCGCTGCTGTCTGGGCAAGTTGATCGCTTCTACGTCATCAAATGAATATAGAACCGGTATGAAGAACATGTTTCCGTGGGAATGCCTCATATCAGCTGGGAAGGTTATTATCAGGGGCTTAGTGTTCTCGATTAACAAGGGTCATTTAGGATCGATTATTGCTGATCTTACAGCTCATATAGATTGGTATAGTTGAATGAATTGATAGGTTGAATAAGCTGCACAATTGCATTCGAAACCCCTTTGAGACTATACACTATACTTTAAGAATAAATTGCTTTTTTCTTGGAGAACCATATAATTATTTATAAAATGAAGTATATGAATAAAGGAGCTAAACAGAACATTTAATGTGTCAAATAATAAAGATGCAAATTCGCCACAATAATTATAAATAAATAAACCCTTGAGAACCCCGACCATGGTTGGCTCAAATCGTTTAATCAGCGCACTTTATTGGTGTGCTAATACCAAGCCTAGGTAAGTGTGACGAGCCGAATGCGTCTGGAGAGAACTACGTATGTTATCTGGACAGAGAATGCATCAGTTAGTCGGCGGAATATAAAACCAGCTCGGAACACCGAACGGACCAACAGAGTCCATTGGCCAGTGGAATCGATTGCTTCGCTAGCTGCAGCTGATCCAATAAATCGACTTAGAATGAGGAGTCTACTATTTGCAGTGCTATTGTTGGTGGCAACACAAGGTGAATATATATTTTAACTTAATTGAGAAGATACAAAGGCTAATCATTTTGTGTGCTTAAACCAGCTCAAGGAAAGCCCAGTGGCAATGGCCTCGAGACAGACTATGATGCTGAGATGAGTGACTTTATGGATGGTCTGCCAGATTTGGATGACACGCCCTCTGGCATTGGTTCGCGATCGGATATCTCGGCGGAACCAGAGGCGGACGATATATTGGCCCACCTGGATGATGAGTACGAAGGAGCCAAGCACTACGACTGGAACAAATGCGACAAGGACCTGAGCGAGTCTCGGGGTATTGGGAAGTTCCTGGACTTGCCCTTCATCAAGAAGATAGCCAGCAACCTGAATCCATTCTCCAGCAAGAAACTTCGTATGCAGTTTTACCTGTTCAAAAGGGAGTTCCCCGAGTGCGGCAGGGAACTGGATTTCTCCAGCGAGCGGAAATTCAAGAACTCTGGCTTCAATGCCTCGCTGCCCACGAGGCTGATGATCCACGGATGGATGAGCCAATCCCGCGGCTCCTTCAATCGGGACGTGAAGAACGCCTATCTGACGAAGGGGGAGTACAATGTGATCGTGGCCGATTGGAGTGCCAGTTCCGCCAACATCAACTATTTCTCGGTGGTCAAGCTAATCGAGACATTCGGCGCTCAGCTGGCACAGTTCACCAGGAACTTGAATCGCCAGTTCGGAGCCGATTTTGATAGCATCTACTTCATTGGTCACTCCCTGGGGGCCCAGATTGCTGGATCGGCTGGCAAGCGACTAAGCCCGGACAAGATAAACACCATTTTCGCGTTGGATCCTGCGGGACCCAAGTTCCGACATCGCAGCGCGGAATTCCGTATCGATCCAACGGATGCCAAGTATGTCGAGTCCATGCACACGAGCGCCAACTTTGGCTTCCGACGACCCACGGGCAGTGCCACCTTCTACCCCAACTACGGGGCCTACCAGCGGAGCTGCTACTACCTGGGATGCTCTCACATTCGATCCTACCAGATGTTCGCCGAGTCCATTAACTCTCCGCTGGGATTCTGGGGCACACCTTGTGTCCGGGAGAACGGCAAGTGGAAGTGCGATCAGAGTAAGCGACAGTCCATCAGGATGGCCGGGGAGCCCTCGGTCCATAAGGAGGGAATATTCTATGTGAAAACCTCTTCGGGAGATCCATTTGCCCTCGGCAAGCAGTGATTTTAGAAAGTGTTTAGAAAAGCTGTACTATATTTATAAAACTCAGAAAATGTGATTCGTATCTACCAAAAATAAATGTAGTTTTTCATATTCCACCAGAAGCAATGCTCTTAATTTCGAAAAAATTCTTGTAAAGTCGGTTAGATCTCGATTAAACTTTATATTGATCAATGCTTTCTAGTTAAACTCCTTATGCTGGACTAGTTTAGTTTACGATCTTTAGTTCTCAGAATATTTTTCTTCAATGGTTACTTTATGAGCACATATCGTACCTTTTAATTTGTTCTGGCATTAGATTAGGAGTCATGCGTATAAATTGAGGCACAGCCCAGAGATCCAGAAGAAGACTTTGACTAGGAGAAACACAGTTGCAGTGATAAGTCATTAGAAGCAGTAATGTTTTCTAGAGTTAGTTTTTAAAATGTTTAAGTAAAGTTACAAATGTAATCTTCAGCATATTTTACTCTACTTCCATCTTAGCATAATTGACTAAATAACATATACTTTAATTAATACAAACTCTATATCATCATATATGTAGCTAACTTGCGATTTATTCTTGTATTTAATCGTAAAACAACTTAATTCCATAATTTAAAACCTTTTTTTTTGAGGTGGATGAACTATTACCAGTAGCACAGAATAAGACGGAGCCGTACTTGCATTGGGCCATTCACAAAAACTAGGTTCCGGGCTTCTGAATCACTATGATAATGTAACTCTCGGAGGGCACTATGATCACCTCATGGTTCAAGGTGCGCAGGCGCAGGTTCAACAGTTCATTGCTCGAATCCAAACTAGAGACCATCTTGGCCGCCTTGAAGGTCAGGGTGCTGACCAGGGCTGCATAGTGGACGGTCAAAGTGTAATCCATTGTCGTCTTGATGGGAATGGCGAACGGGTCCAAAATTATAGTGCCCACAACATTTGGATAGGATTGATAGCGTTTCAACAGTTCCTCAATTTCGGCTGACATCTTGTCGAGAAAATACTGGGACGTAAAAATTGATTAGAGTTGCTAAGGAAATATACGTGACTGCTCTAAGGGAGATGTCCCGGATATGACTGATGAAGCCAGGCTCACTATTTTATTGAAACTTACATTTGTTCTTTATTAAATGTAAACCAGACTCAAGTTATTCGAAGGCATTAACAAAAAAGAGGAGACTGTTTTCGGATCGAACTTGCGTCTTTGCAAAATTAATTTCATTTCTAGTCTTAATTCCATTTCGGGGGTGTCTGGCCCATTGGCGCTTCTTTGGCGATGTGAAATATGCGAACTTACGCTGGCTTGGCGTTAATTGCTATCAGATAAATATATGCGGCGTCGCCATAATTACGAAGGACAGATTACGGAGCGCACTTAATTGTCCGCCGTAAAGTGTTTGCCGGTATCTCTAATCCGGCCAGCGAAGAAAACTCTTCCACCGCCTCGGAAGAGCAGTTCCTGCTCGATTTTAATTATTCGGCGACGTTCTCACTCTTAGCCGTTTGCATATTCATTGGTTCTCCAAGGAATGCGGATGCTTGCATTGCTTTGATTTTCATTGCACAGTAGTCGAAAGAAAGCCTCATAATTTAAACAGAAAAAGGATCTTCTTATTGCTGCGATATTAAGAAAAGAATCGGGGGAATAATTCTTATAAATAGGAATTTGTATTCGAGCAAGCGTTAGGTTTTTCTGTTATTAAACCTTAAACTCGATTACTAGTGATCCATTTTTTAACAAGTATTGTTTTCTAAATAAATAAATCTTAACATGGTTTTTGGGAAATGTAACTTCAAATCGAGTTCTGTGTCTCAGCTCTTTGTCTAATCCAATACATTTTAAGACAATAAAAAGACTAAATAATTCAGTTTAATAAGTGTTAATTATGAAATATTATTATTTAGGCAAAACAGTTTGCATTTGGACCATAGTGTTTTCTGGCAATTCAACACATTTTTTGGCCCCTGACTGCAAAAACTTTGCCTGCAATGTGGTTGGTCAGATAAGCTATCCTAATCGGTTATAAAAATGGCCAAGAACGGCGGCAATAGATTTGAAAAGATTTTAATATTTTAGCGGTGTTCTTGGAGAAGGTGGAGTAACACTTACTTTGCCTTTTGGGAAAATAAATCTCCTTTTAATGGACAGTCAAGTTTCTAAATATTATTGTATAAATTAATCTTGTAAAATCAAAAATCTTCTGGTAACTCGAATCATAAATTTATGAATAAAGTATTGTAAGTATTTTCAATCGAATTATCCATGATGAAAAATGTCAATGGAATTGTCGACCTTTCCGGCTTCCTTGTAAGATATTTTCATTCGTGTTTCTGGTTTCGGACTGTAAAGAACTCTAAAAATCCAAAAAAATTAAAAATTTTATTTTTAAAATTTCCAAATTTTGGTAAAGTAGTATATTTCTGTGAACAAAAAGAAAAGCAAAGAAAAAACAAACATCATGGAGTATGGAAACGGAATGCAATATGGAAACGGAATGCAATACGAAGGCTATGGCCAGGGTGGCGAAGTAGGTTTTCAAATGTTCATGAAGGCAATATCCCTTGTCCTACTATTAATAATTTCCTAGGGTTATGAAATGAGCTATGGCCAGATGGGCCGTGGCCAAGGCCAAGGATATAGCCAGCAGCAGCAGCAGGGCGCCTATGGCCAGGAGTCGAGTAACCAAAGCGGGGCCGCTGCTTACGGCGGTCCTGGATACCGCAGTCCCTTGCGATATAACAAATTGCTTCGCGAGATGAATTCCCGAAACGGACTTTAGTGAGTCAATAGTCAGCAGGTGTTCCTCCTCCCACAGAGCTAATGAGTGTACTTGCCACAGCTCTCCCATGGACCAGCAGCGAGGAGGCGGCCAGGGAGATTACTACAACTCTTTGCCTGGTCTTGGTGGAGCCGAGGGTCAAATGTACCAGCCGCGTGGCAATGGAAACTCGTACTACTGAGGTCGTCATGTGTCCCAGTTCGTTGACGTTAGTTGAATTTTGAAAGCGTCGCACTCCAATAATCAACTGTCATAGAAATGTCTACAAAGTATATTGAATTAAAAGACCACTTAGCCATTTAAGTATAGGTATTTACTTTATTCTGGTGTAGCAAATAAATCCACTTGCCGATCAAAGTTGAGATTAATCTGTATTGAGGATTTAAATCGTCGGTTTGAATGTTACAGATTGTATTATAGAGCTCAATACTGTTGCAGTTGACTTAAAAAAAATAGAATAACAATTAATGATTAACTTTTATTCTTAATTTTGCATTTGTATGATGTGGTTATTGATGCCAAAGTCTGATTATTTGGCCTTGCTAATCGATTTCTTACGATTTTAAAATTGTTATTCGAGATCTTAAAAACACAATTTAGTCTTAAAGAAATCACGCCTCAAATAGCATTATAATTTTAAAGCAGCATAGACATAACTTAGATGTAGTTTGCGTGTTTCGTGATATGGTTAAATCTTCGATATTGTACAAATACCTAGTAATTCTGATAAATAGTCATTATAAATGTTGCCAATTTCAGGGGATAAAGGTAGCAATAATTGACTTTTGTTATTTTCAGATTGCCATATACAATGACAGCTTCTTTTGCCAGTTTTTTTTATACATGCGTATATTTAATGATAAAGTTAATGAAGATCTGTCGATGTTTTTTATTAAATTTTTTTTTTCACCTAAATTGAGTTTGTAAGAGCTAAAATTAAATTATAATCCGTTGTACTGTACACACAATAAAAGAGTTAAAAGTACTTACTATTAACAAGAAGTGAAACTTATTTTATCATTGAAAAAATACCCTGCAGGGTATTATACTATTGACTACTATTGGCTTTTGACTATATTATGAAGTGAACGAGTTATTCTATTTTTAAATAAGTATATTAAGTATATATATTTTTAATCAGCATCAGCAGCCGAGTCGATCTAGACATGTCCATGACATGTTATTACGCGAAGTAGTCTTCTTTGTATGTGTATATATTAATAAATATGTGCAAGTTTCAAAAAGCTGACATGCAAATGATCGGAAAATTACTCTGAGATATTGCAATTTCTAGGTTTCTTTATTTTATTTTATTTTAAGTTTATGCAAATAAAAAGACTATATCAAAGATTGTTCCTAATTGTAAAATAGTCAAAAAAGAAGATTTTATTTTCCCTTAATTGGCAAAGTTTAAGTTTTTAACTTTCTGCAGTAGAAATAATATTATCTGCAAAGTTTCCTCCAGATATGTAGTTCTGAAAATATAAACTGACAGATGGTGGTTGTGGGCTGAAGGACTTTGCTAGATCGTCGCGGCTGCTACTCCCGATGAATAATAAAAAAGAAATGGGTCTGAAATTTAAAAATTGATCTAGTGTGATTTTGTTTTATTGTAAGCACAAATGCACTGACTGAGTAGAGTTCAGATTCATTTAGTAGTTTGCTTTCATGAAGTAAAAACCAGAAAAATTTGTAGTTTCAAAATTATTTTCGTATACTTTCCATAGTAAAAAAAAATTCAAAAATTAGATTGAAAATGGATTATTCTACATATGCACAGCTCTCTGGCTTCCCTTACATGCCCACTCCGGAGATATTCTACCCAGAGGTAAGATCCCAAATACTATATCCTCCGCCTAGATTATTATTCCTGAAATCCGATATTCAGATGGGTGGCGCTGTGCGGCAACAGGAGCAACAGAAGCAGTGCGATGGCTTTCAACAAGGATCCAGCCAAGACTATCAAGCCAGCCAATCGGCTCCCGACTATTACCAATATCAGGGCCAAGGACAGGAAAACAAGTCGGATGGCTTCCAAGCCAATCCCTATAGTTCTGGTCGTCAATATACAAGTTCTGAATATCGCTGCATGGCGCGGGAGCAGAAACGAGCCAAGGAAATGCGGTCGCGCAATGGATTATAGTAGGTCAACCTCTTACTCTTAGCATTTATACCATATTTTATTTATATATTTATTAATTATATTAATATATATTTTCTGTTGTTTAGTTCACCCTACGATTCCGCTGCTCGCTACAGTGGCGGGGATGCCAGCCAATACCCCAATTTTACAGGTGGGAAACCTCACTCCTAGAACTATATGGAAACACTTATCAATTTTCCTGCATTCTTTATTCCACAGATGGCGAGAGGCGAATGGAACCCCAGAATAGAAATCCATACTGGTGATACTCTGAACCTGCTAAATTAACATTGTTTTGTGCGTTTCTTTTTGGTCATAGTCTGGAAAATATACAATATTCTAAAACTTATCACTACTTGTTTGTTGATGAAACTTTTATGCATTCATTTATATATGTACACCACACTTGGGATTTATTTTCAATCTTTAAAAGGGAAGATTATTTTAGGAGACCAAAACTTTAATTAGGTTGCCTTTTAGAGTCTTTAAAAACCCTATTCTTAAGGCAAAAGTCCGCTGGGAGGCCAAGCTGGACAACGGCTTTATGCGGATCCACGATCCAGTGCAAAAATGAGCTAAAGACGATCCATGAGCTCAAAAGGAGATGCGACAATGGCTGGATATCCCATTTAAGGATGGCCCATTCGCTCATATTTAGCTTGTCGCCTCGTATAGAAAGCGGTGGTGTCATAAATTAAAACTTAAACTTTTGGAAATGTCAAGTATAAAACGGTAAATCTCTGCACACACACTCGTCCTTCTGCTGGAAATGAATGGCACCAGAAAGGGTTGGAGAGAGGCGGCTTCGCCCATTGAATGCGCATGTTTTAGTTGCGGGCAGCGTTTTTCACTTGCTGGCAAAGATATACGGAGAGGTGCAATACAACAATATATATGGAGGGAAAACTCCACCCACTTTGCCATAAATTTGGGCACAAGGCAAACTTACAGATTATCCGCATTTAGTTGTAAAGGTTTCCCCCACAAAATGTATTTATTTCATTTTTGGCTCCCCCGAAGACGAAAGTTTGTCTGGCTCTTCCTTGGCCTGTCGATGATTTACATTTAAGTTACTTTCGCCGGTCGCCGGTCACCGGACCCCCAAGATTCCATATTTCCCATACCCATGCCGTTGCTGCTCATTTACAATAAATTGTCATCGCTGACGCTAAATATCTAATTTCTAATCATCATAAAATCTGATTATCATTTTCATAACTCTGCCAGATATTGGCCGCAAAAAACTTGACACATTAAGCGAGCATAAGAACAAATTTACAGTGGCCAGGGAGCACAATTTTTAAGTAAAATTTATGAAAATTAAAAACTTAGAACAACTTTCCCCCGGTCATTTGAATAATTTAATTGATCGCATAAATTTCTTCTAGGTGGGAAACAACAACTTAAGCCTTCAAAGGGAGGGTGTCCAGGACGAAGGACGAGGATGGTGGTTGAACGACATTGGGACGAATGAAGTGTAACCGCGAATATAATCAAATTTTCCCCGGCCATCCGGGAGAATATACGATTCCTGCTCCTTGATTCTCGCCTACCAAACATCTAATCATACTTTATTTAGATTTTTCTTTCACAAGTTTTTCTTGAAATTATAAAATGTGGCTTCTTAATTTAGAAATTATTTGTATTGTTAGCAATTTGTTTCGAGATAAGAAAAGAAGTAACAGTCCATGAAATTGAGATAGTTCATATTGAATTGAATATACTTAAACAGTGTTTAATAAATCTTACTCCTTGGAAGTTCCGAGAGATGAAAGGGGATGACCTCCCCTGATATGCAAGTCTCCTATAGGCAAATAATCACCTGAGTCCGAATATACAAGTTCCATCCTTGCACCTACTTGGAGATACGGGATTCAAGTTTATGGCCGCAAGCCAATACAAATCTGAGTCGCATCCAGGTATTCCAAAACAAGTTCCAGCAGAGAGTACTGAGTATACAAATTTATATTTTTTAACAACAGATGTATTTAGTTTAGGAATCTCCCTCAACAATGAGCTTTCACAAATACAATGCAATATTATATATTTAAAAGTGTCTAATAGGGGTATAGATTTAATTTTTGAATTGTAAATGACCTGTAAATAAAAATAAATGCCTAAAACAGAGACCTTGATGGTGATATGATATCAATTTAGTTTCGAATTAACGAATTCAATCTAGGACTTTTTCAGTGGACTCCGTCTACATTCAATCATTTTCAATTTACTAATAACATAAGCGAAGAACTCACTTCTTTTTCCAAAGACCAGACTTACTATGAAGGCTAAGCCCCTGGGTTTGGTCACAAAACCCGTCTCCTTTTCCAACAGTCAAACGCAAAGATGATGAATTTTGACGTTTTGCGTGCTTGGAAAAGTCCTTGCTTAAAAGTTATTGCAGATTAAAGGGCAGAGGCAAATGTGCAGGCGGAATGTGCTTCATTAGACTGGGAGACTGGGAGACTGGAAGGACGCGTGGCCGAGGATTCGGACCAAGATCCATGTGTGGCGAGGCTGCTGGAGGTCCTGGGGCATCGATGGGCGTGCGAAAGAGTGCGATGTTTACTTACCTGTGGTGAAAGTTTCTGAAAATCCTAAAAGGAAATCACTTTAGACGCGTCCAAAGAGATGCAGTAAAGTTTCGTTAAACCATCTGGCCTCGAACCCCTTTGCCCTGGCTGCGATGAGCCACAGAAACCAAAGTTGCCAGTGGAGGAAGTGTGAACGATTATGAGGAGCTGATAGAAGAAATTCGAGAGGAGTTTGGAGTCTATCCTTGGATGATGTTTTAATGTTGCCCGCTGGAACTTTTGAGACATCTTAATTCCTTTCGAGATAAATCAGAAATTTTAAGAGCACTAACGCGCCAGTTAAAAATTTGTTTTTTTATTTATATAATTTTTGGGACTTGTGCATTTTTATTCGCCCCTCTCATGCTCTCTCGCTCCCTCGGTCTCTTGGTGTCCCTTTCTCAGTTGTATGTGTTTGAGCTTGGTTTATCCTTTCATAAATGGGACCAACGGCCAACTGATTTATGCCACCGCAAGCTGGAGCTGTTGTTCTTGGTCCTGCAGCTCCTGCAACTGTTCCACACCGGAGCATCCTTATGTCGACGGCGGTGGGCAAAAAATAACAAAGCAACCAAACAGAATTCCAGAAAACAACATAAAGCCGATTGATTTATTTTGACAATGCCACCATGCAGTGTCGACCCTCCCGAGTCCCACCATTGATGCCGCGATCCCCCGAGAGCTCCAAGCTCTGGTTCCAGTCTAGTCCGGTTGCCGTGGTTTGTCGTAGCCACTTTCTCGTCCGCATTTTGGGCCATCACCCGCTGTCCCACTCTCTGTTACCAACTGCCCCAATCCATGACAAAAAGTTGTCTCCGTCTGCCTTGGCTTGTAAAATATACACATATATATATTTAAACATTTCTCTTATTATAATCCTTCATTGCATAGCCCTTTGGGTTGGGTGAATAGGGCCAACTGCCCACCTTGGTTAGAGGGGGATCCTTTACGAGATGGTGGGTGGGTGAGATGGGACAGATGGGTTGATGGTTGCGTGTGGCCATTACAGTGGCTTATAGCAAATAAAAAACACTTTTAATTACCCTCCAGCACAGTCAAGTGCCTTGGTTATTTATTTCCAAAACAATTGTGATCTCTCCGAAATTACTTAAAAAAGTGGGTTCAAAGCTGTGGAGTCTTCTTTACAATAAATAAGGCAAGGTAGAGTCACTACCCGGTATGTGTATCGAGAGGTATCAGTTAGTTTAGCTCTTAATAATATGTGCTAATATATTAAATGTTACTGAACGTTATTAAAATACACTCTTACAGGTCTTGTAATTCAATATCAATTTCCTTAAATAGGAAATGCAAGGTTTAAGATACCTGTATATGGCATGTCAAAAGTTTAAAAGACTTAACCTAACTTTATATTATAATAAATAAGAATTAGTTTAAAGCTCATCAATACTTATAAAAGCCTTTGCATATTTGAGTATTGAAATTAATTTATACACTCATAATTACTTCATAGTAATATACTAGGCTTTACTTTACAATAAACTTTTTAAGTTGGAGCAGATCAGAGCTTAACGGAAGGATGTCATTCTTATTTCTGAGCTCGAAATTAACCAATAAGGAAACTGGACACCAAGTCACCATGTGACACAAGGTGCACAAGCCTCACCTCGATCCCCTGCCTTCACTAATGGAGGTCAGAGTTTCACGAGCCGCAATGTCCGCTGGAAAACGGTTAATAAGTACAGCCACGAGTTCTTGGCTCAAATTAAAAGTTATTGAAGGAGGAGGAGGAGGAGATAAAGGCCACTGGGGCCAACCACACGGTTCATGGATACAATGGCAGGACTTGGCTCATGGGCCTGCTGGCGGAAATTGTTACACGACGCTGGGATGCGAGAATGGCAACCACAGCAGCAGTTATTGCCGCCGTGTTGCCCGATGTCGTTATTTTGCCTCTTTTTTTTAAGAAAATAAGATTCGAAAAGTTTATGCAGTTCGTTGTCACGAGGTGGTGGAAAATGAATCCAAAGGAAGAGTACCCTGAACGACCTGCGCGTGATTCGTTGAAAGGAACCCTGACCCCCACTGTAAATATCCAACAAGGGCCAGAAACCGGAAACCCAGAGAGCGCAAGTGTTGCTTAATTCATTTCCTTTCTTAACCAGACTCGATACTGGAATTCCTTGAACCTTTTTCATTAACTTTAAGCGCAATTTGAAATATATTAGTTCTTATTCTAGGTTCTAGACTTACCTTCCGATGCTTAGGACACTCATGCACTTCTCTTCTTCACTTCTCTCTTCTTATTTAAATCAATAATATGTATTTCTAGATAAGAATGTGCAGCATTCATTGTGGAGTTGAATCTATACTTCCGATTTATCTTCTTTATAACCACCAATGATTTATTTGTTTTGCAAATATATCGAAAGAATGAGCATTACAAGCGGATGAGAAAGGGATCCTTAACTTAAAAAAAACAGGCAAGGACTAACGCCAAGTGCAAAGGAGCGTCAGGCACGAACTGAAGATGAAGTTTATTTTACGACCCTGGCACTCGAGCCAAGAAGGATCTAGAGTCTGCCGCCAGATAATGTATCAGCCAAGTGAACATGAGAGGGGCATGGGCCCAGCTCCATTCCACACGTGTGTGTAATCAAATAATTTTCCAGAAATCGAGAAATTATTACGAGTAAATTTTTACAAATTCATTTTGCACTTTTGCCAGACCCACAAGCGGGTGCAAAAAACATAGGAAAAGTTAGTCGCACTGCATGCAAAGTGGCCCAATCCCTCACGCCCGATCCCCTCCAGCCAG